AACAACCTAAGCCCACCGGAAGTGGGTTGGATGGCGCTGGATGTCATTCAAATGGAAGACTGGTAGTAGGACGAGGGGGCGACACCAGATTAAGTGTAAGTATTGCAATGAAGGCTATGTTTTGGTTTTTTTAACTGGGGCATAGCTATTATTTTTTGCATTTGTTACAGAAATTGGAGTTCTGAAATTGAAGTGGCAAGCTGAATAGTTATATTTGCAATGGTAACTCCCAGGTACGGATTGAAACCTCAGCAATGCATCTGCCCTGAAAGCTTCCCTTTATTACAAGCATGCATTTTAGAGTTTTCATGAATTTGGTGCAAGGCTTCAGACTACATACACACCACCAGAAATGTCTCCCAATGGCTTATTGAATTGCCCCACTGTTTTCATAATAAACATGTAGGCTCATTATACAAGGCATTGCAATGAACAGTGGTGATGTGCCTAACACAGGGATCAGTGGCAAAACTCTGATTTTATGTTATTAATGTTAGATTGTTATAAGATGATAGTCAGTAAGGGTTATTGTAGTTAGCAGATCAATACTGCTCAATGCCCTGTCTTCAAAAAGTCAAATGATGTCAGTGTTGAGCCCCATCAACATCTGTGATTGTCCCATTCACAGATGTGAATCAGGCTTTGAAGATGAATCCTGGGCTTAAAAATATTTTCTGCTATGATAGTTGCCCAGCCTACATGCAATGGATGATGTTAAATATGTGGCATATTCTAAGTATAGTTCCCAACACATTCCTAGTTAGCAATACTCTCAAGCCCCTCTACTCCCATCATCTCTAGATAAACATTGCTCTGTCCCCTTTGACAGATAGCAGCCAGCACTATGCATGACAGATGTCAGACTGGGCGGTCACTGACCATTCTGGTTCACACTAATAATTGGGTGCCAGTCAGCCTGCTTCTCTATTATCTGATGACTTTGTCATCTATGAAATAAAGAGTACATACAAGTTGGCAGCTCATTCACAAAATACCCCTTTAGCCTATAAATGGCAGCAGTGTGTCTCTGCATAATATGTAATTGTCAGATACAATTACACTGTTTAAAGAAAATTGAAAATAAA